AGGTTGATCCTGACTCCCATATCCCTTTGAAAGGGGCGAAGGAGCAAATATTGTAAAAATTTTAATTATCACAACTTTCGGGCCGAAATGTTAAGGGCCAGGGTGGTTCAGCATTTTGGAGGAAAATATATATTTTTTTTAATAGGTTAGTTTCCCCACAATGAATGTCCATACATGCCATTAGATGGATCTTGACCCCCATATCCCTTTGAAAGGGGCGTAGGGGCAAATATTGTGATAATTTGAATAAACACCAATTTCAGGCCGAAATGGTAAGGGCCGGGGTGGTTCAGCATTTTGGAGGAAAATATTATATTTTTTGAATAGGCTAGTTTCCCCACAATGAATGTACATACATGCCATTAGATGGATCCTGACCCCCATATCCCTCTGGAAGGGGCGTAGGGGCAAATATTGTAAAAATTTGAATTATCACAACTTTCAGGCCGAAATTAGAAGGTCCGGGGTGGTTCAGCATTTTGGAGGAAAATATATATTTTTTTTAATAGGCTAGTTTCCCCACAATGAATGTCCATACATGCCATTAGATGGATCCTGACCCCCATATCCCTTTGAAAGGTGCGTAGGGGCAAATATTGTAAAAATTTTAATTATCACAACTTTCGGGCCGAAATTGTAAGGGCCGGGGTGGTTCAGCATTTTGAAGGAAAAAATTATATTTTTTGATTAGGATAGTTTCCCCACAATGTATGTACATACATGCCATTAGATGGATCCTGACCCCCAAATCCCTTTGAAAGGGGCGTAGGGGCAAATATTGTGATAATTTGAATAAACACCAATTTCAGGCCGAAATGGCAAGGTCCGGGGTGGTTCAGCATTTTGGACGAAAATATATATTTTTTTTAATAGGTTAGTTTCCCCACAATGAATGTCCATACATGCCATTAGATGGATCTTGACCCCCATATCCCTTTGAAAGGGGCGTAGGGGCAAATATTGTGATAATTTGAATAAACACAAATTTCAGGCCGAAATGGTAAGGGCCGGGGTGGTTCAGGATTTTGGAGGAAAATATATATTTTTTTTAATAGGCTAGTTTCTCCACAATGAATGAACCTACATGCCATTAGATGGATCTTGACCCCCATATCCCTTTGAAAAGGGCATAGGGGCAAATATTGTGATTATTAAATAAACACCAATTTCAGGCCAAAATAGTAAGGGCCGGGGTGGTTCAGGATTTTGGAGGAAAATATATATTTTTTTTAATAGGCTAGTTTCTCCACAATGAATGTACCTACATGCCATTAGATGGATCTTGACCCCCATATCCCTTTGAAAGGGGCATAGGGGCAAATATTGTGATAATTTGAATAAACACCAATTTCAGGCCAAAATGGTAAGGGCCGGGGTGGTTCAGCATTTTCGAGGAAAATATTATACTTTTTGAATAGGCTAGTTCCCTCACAATCAATGTACATACATGCCATTAGATGGATCCTGACCCCCATATCCCTCTGGAAGGGGCGTAGGGGCAAATATTGTAAAAATTTGAATTATCACAACTTTCAGGCCGAAATTAGAAGGTCCGGGGTGGTTCAGCATTTTGGAGGAAAATATATATTTTTTTTAATAGGCTAGTTTCCCCACAATGAATGTCCATACATGCCATTAGATGGATCCTGACCCCCATATCCCTTTGAAAGGGGCGTAGGGGCAAATATTGTAAAAATTTTAATTATCACAACTTTCGGGCCGAAATTGTAAGGGCCGGGGTGGTTCAGCATTTTGAAGGAAAAAATTATATTTTTTGATTAGGATAGTTTCCCCACAATGTATGTACATACATGCCATTAGATGGATCCTGACCCCCAAATCCCTTTGAAAGGGGCGTAGGGGCAAATATTGTGATAATTTGAATAAACACCAATTTCAGGCCGAAATGGCAAGGTCCGGGGTGGTTCAGCATTTTGGACGAAAATATATATTTTTTTTAATAGGTTAGTTTCCCCACAATGAATGTCCATACATGCCATTAGATGGATCTTGACCCCCATATCCCTTTGAAAGGGGCGTAGGGGCAAATATTGTGATAATTTGAATAAACACAAATTTCAGGCCGAAATGGTAAGGGCCGGGGTGGTTCAGGATTTTGGAGGAAAATATATATTTTTTTTAATAGGCTAGTTTCTCCACAATGAATGAACCTACATGCCATTAGATGGATCTTGACCCCCATATCCCTTTGAAAAGGGCATAGGGGCAAATATTGTGATTATTAAATAAACACCAATTTCAGGCCAAAATAGTAAGGGCCGGGGTGGTTCAGGATTTTGGAGGAAAATATATATTTTTTTTAATAGGCTAGTTTCTCCACAATGAATGTACCTACATGCCATTAGATGGATCTTGACCCCCATATCCCTTTGAAAGGGGCATAGGGGCAAATATTGTGATAATTTGAATAAACACCAATTTCAGGCCAAAATGGTAAGGGCCGGGGTGGTTCAGCATTTTCGAGGAAAATATTATACTTTTTGAATAGGCTAGTTCCCTCACAATCAATGTACATACATGCCATTAGATGGATCCTGACCCCCATATCCCTTTGGAAGGGGCGTAGGGGCAAATATTGTAAAAATTTGAATTATCACAACTTTTGGGCCGAAATTAGAAGGTCCGGGGTGGTTCAGCATTTTGGAGGAAAATATTTTTTTTTTAATAGGTTAGTTTCCCCACAATGAATGTACATTCATGCCATTAGGTTGATCCTGACTCCCATATCCCTTTGAAAGTGGCGAAGGGGCAAATATTGTAAAAATTTGAATTATCACAACTTTCGGGCCGAAATGGTAAGGGCCGGGGTGGTTCAGCATTTTGGAGGAAAATATTATTTTTTTTGAATAGGTTAGTTTCCCCACAATGAATGTCCATACATGCCATTAGATGGATCCTGACCCCCAATCCCTTTGAAAGGGGTGTAGGGGCAAATATTGTGATAATTTGAATAAACACCAATTTCAGGCTGAAATGGTAAGGGCCGGGGTGGTTCAGGATTTTGGAGGAAAATATATATTTTTTTTAATAGGTTAGTTTCCCCACAATGAATGTCCATACATGCCATTAGATGGATCTTGACCCCCATATCCCTTTGAAAGGGGCGTAGGGGCAAATATTGTGATAATTTGAATAAACACCAATTTCAGGCCGAAATGGTAAGGGCCGGGGTGGTTCAGCATTTTGGAGGAAAATATTATATTTTTTGAATAGGCTAGTTTCCCCACAATGAATGTACATACATGCCATTAGATGGATCCTGACCCCCATATCCCTCTGGAAGGGGCGTAGGGGCAAATATTGTAAAAATTTGAATTATCACAACTTTCAGGCCGAAATTAGAAGGTCCGGGGTGGTTCAGCATTTTGGAGGAAAATATATATTTTTTTTAATAGGCTAGTTTCCCCACAATGAATGTCCATACATGCCATGAGATGGATCCTGACCCCCATATCCCTTTGAAAGGTGCGTAGGGGCAAATATTGTGATAATTTGAATAAACACCAATTTCAGGCCGAAAATGGTAAGGGCCGGGGTGGTTCAGCATTTTCGAGGAAAATATTATATTTTTTGAATAGGCTAGTTTCCCCACAATGAATGTACATACATGCCATTAGATGGATCCTGACCCCCATATCCCTTTGGAAGGGGCGTAGGGGCAAATATTGTAAAAATTTGAATTATCACAACTTTCGGGCTGAAATTAGAAGGTCCGGGGTGGTTCAGCATTTTGGAGGAAAATATATTTTTTATGCCTCCGTCACCGAAGGTGGTGCCGGAGGCATCATGTTTTCGGGTTGTCCGTCCCGTTTGACCGTTATCACAATATCTCAAGAACCATTTAAGATTTAAACTTAAGACTCGGGAATAGTATTTATCACCATAGGAAGACGATCTGATTAGATTTTGGAGTACGTAGGTCAAAGGTCACAGGTCACAGAGGTCAACTTATGAAATTCCTTGTATTGAGTTTGTTAGCGCGATATCTCAAGAACCATTTGAGATTTAAACTTCAAACTTAAGGATAGTATGTATCACCATAGGAAGACGATCTGATTAGATTTTGGAGCACGTATGTCAAAGGTCAAGGGTCACAGAGGTCAACTTATGAAATTCCATACATTGAGATTGTTATCATGATATCTCAACAACCACTGGAGATTTAAACTTCAAACTTAGTGATAGTGTGTATCACTATAGGAAAACAATCTGATTACATTTTGGAGCACGTAGGTCAAAGGTCAAGGGTCATAGAGGTCAACTTATGAAATTCCATACATTGAGATTGTTATCATGATATCTCAAGAACCACTGGAGATGTAAAAACTTCAAACTTAAGGATAGTATGTATCACCATAGGAAGACGATCTGATTAGATTTTGGAGCACGTAGGTCAAAGGTCAATGGTCACAGAGGTCAACTTATGAAATTCCATACATTGAGATTGTTATCATAATATCTCAAGAACCACTGGAGATTTAAACTTCAAACTTAATGATAGTGTGTATCACCATAGGAAGACAATCTGATTAGATTTTGGAGCACGTAGGTCAAAGGTCAAGGGTCACAGAGGTCAACTTATGAAATTCCATACATTGAGATCGTTATCGCGATATCTCAAGAACCACTGGAGAATTTTCACTTCAAACTTAATGATAGTATGTATCACCATATCATAATATCTCAAGAACCACTGGAGATTTAAACTTCAAACTTAATGATAGTGTGTATCACCATAGGAAGACAATCTGATTAGATTTTGGAGCACGTAGGTCAAAGGTCAAGGATCACAGAGGTCAACTTATGAAATTCCATGCATTGAGATTGTTATCATGATATCTCAAGAACCACTGGAGATTTAAACTCCAAACTTGTTTAAATTGCTCTATGGCGGAGGCATCATTTTCGACTGCGCGCAGTCAAAATTCCATCTAGTTTTTTTTTTTTTTTTGGGGGGGGGGGGGCGCACCAACATCCCCCTAGGTTTTACAGGCCTACATTTTATGCACAACTATATATATGCTTTGTTTCTTGTATGTTTGCTCTAATATTAGGTTCACCTGCTAAGCTTGAGATTACTTTACTTAGGCCAGCATCTCTTAGGCCAGCATCTTTGGAATGATAATGGTTTCTTGGTATATATGCCTCGTTGCCAGCCCTTTTGATGATATAGTTACAGACTTGATGAATTTTCAGTAATATGAAACAATTAGATGCTAGCTTTTCATCTATTTTAAAGTATTCTGGCTTTGTTTTTTCCCGATAGGGTAGAAAATTCTATTTCAAAATATTTTGGTGAAACACGTTTGGAATAATCATCGTTGATTCCCCTTTTATCACTAGGCCAAAGCTCTTCAGGAGAAAGAGGCCAAAGACGAGGAATACAGGAGGATGGCGGAGAAACACAGTGTACTGTCCCTGGAATCAGCTGAAGCTAAAAGAGAAAATAAACAGCAAGAAGAAGTGAGGGTATGAGTGTGTGCTTGCTTCCTAGTTTACAAAATAAATCATTGTGTATCAATGTTTTCTTGAAATACAGCATGCAAAACATGACCCGTAGACCGACAGAGCCCACAGAACCGTCAGCCCAAGCGACCGACAATGTCGATTTGTGTGGGCTGTCCGTCTCATGGTTTGTAGCCTAGATATTGCATGTGCATAGAAGAAGAAAAAGAGACTCTAGGGCATATTTTCTGTCCGAGCAATCTTGAACAAGAGATTGGTAGAGACCGGTACGTATTGTAGAGAAACACATCTTCCTTATGCTGGAATCAGCTGAAGGAAAACCAAAGAGAGAAGAAGCAAACAAAATCAATTTTATTTTGATATAATCCTGGAGTTATTTTACCAGCTCTATATCATAACAGTGAAGTTGTGGTGGTTGTTATTTTACCTGACTGCTAAGAAAGCATAAATGCTTGTAAGTAAGCAACCAGATGGCCGGCAGCTTTAGGTCCTCTCTCTGAGGGACCAGGTAATGAGGATTAATGCCTTACCAAAGGGCACTAGTGCATCGACTTAGTTTTGAACCTGGGTCACCGGATTACGAGACCACTGCTCTACCGACTGAGCTATCGCGCCTCCTCAGAACTGTTCATGTGCATGAAGGAAATCTCTAGCACAAAGTTTGGTCCCAAGCGGACGTCGACAAGAGACTAGTAGGGACTGGTAGACAAACACATCTCTCTCTCACTCTTGACACAGCTAAAGCTGAAAAGGAGAGAGAGAGAACAAGAGTAAACAATCAGAAGCATTTGGGGTATGAAACCAAATCCTCATTTCATGTCTTGATGTAGTCTAGGCATATTGCATGCTCATGTAGAAGCTCATTTCATATTGATTAGACATGTTTAGTACAGGAGATTGGTAATTTTTTTTCTCCCTCTCTGTGTGTGTGTGTGGAAACAACGGAAGCCAATGCATGCATGAGAAGGGAAACGAAAAAAGTTGATGTTACAAATGTGTGTTTTCTAGAAAAAGGTAAAAGACACCTGATTGTGTACATGTGATGTAACTGTGATGTGATGTATTAGTTTGCATGTAGAGGAAATACAGAAAGATATAAAATTGATGCTAGTATGTTGCATGACAGAGTGGTCTTTACGGGTCTGCAATTAAAGCTGGTCTCCAAATGGTGTGATTTTTGTCTTAATATGCATTTAAATATTACAATAAATCTACAAGATATGTTTTGATGCCATACTAAAAGCCATAATTTCATATTGCATCAGTAGATTTAGCATATTTAAATTCACAGGTGTTCTACTTTTGACTAATGACCATTTTTTAATGGTGTATATTTAACTGTCTAAAGTATAGCACTTCACTAGAAATTTTCATGATGAAATAATTACAGGTTATTATTAATATTTTTTCTGTTTGTTATTCATTCAGGAGCTTCAGAGAAAGAATAAGGAAGTCATGCAGCAGCATGCCGTGCGAAAGAAAGTCATCGACAAGAAAACAGAGTGAGTTCTAATCCTCTTGAAATATTTTCTTGAAATGTTATGCAGTCAAACCTGTCTCTTAATTAAGACCACTCAAGGGAAACGCAAAAAGCGGTCTTTATAGACAGGTTGTTCCAAGCAATCTTAAAAACAAATTAGTTAATTATTAATATGATTGATTTGGATCAATCGCAACTCTTTATAAGACAGGGCAGATGTCCAATTTCCTTCAGCGTGATTTTCCATAAACCTGTTTACGGCCGCCCTTTGGGAGCTACTGATGACATATTTTTTCTTTCTTTTTAAATAACATGTGACCATAACAAATTATCTTTGCAATACATCCTGATTCTGAACTTTCCTTCATCTTGGCTTGCCCCGAAACCGTTTTAACCCGTTGCCTTTATGAACCGGTTGCCCACTGTATTAAGCCTATGGGAATGAAAAAATTCAGTAGTCAACAGGTTAAGACTGGGAGGTGATGAGGACATACGACGTGTTAATTTTGCACCAAGATCACACCATGCAGTCCCATATGTCTACTTCTGTGTCCTGTTTTCTTCTTGCTTTTGAAGAGAGGAGAACGAATACCAGAGGATGTGTATCGATACGAAGGACAGTAAGCACAAGGAAATGATCGAACAACAACAGTTTCAGAGACAGACGGAACTCAGGAACAGCAGGTAATGTACAATTCGAAGGATACATCAGTCGCACACATACAAACTGACTCCAAATCGATCGATTCTTTGCCAGTTTTTAATTTTATTCTTACAATAGGTCGTAGTACCTGTTGTTTTCATCAAAGCTGATAAAAAGTGGCCCTTTAACCATAATAAGTACATACTATTTCAGTGTGATTAAAACAAGAGAAAGTGCATTAAATGTTCAAAAGTATAGAATTCAAAGGTTACAATTTAGAAATTAAATACTAAATGACATCTTTCTTGAATCTGTCAATGTTTGGTGCAGGGGGCCCAGGGAAAAAGAAATAAGATGGGAGGGAGTTCCATAATTGGAAACATTTGATGATTATTTGATGATTATCATTATTGAGGATTAAATGATTATTAGACCATATGGATTATAACACAAATGGGCATTAGACAAAAATAGAATTACACCGACTGAAAATTACACTAAATGAGCAATAGACCAAACGATATTATTTATTTATTGTAAATGGCATTTGACATTATTTATTTATTGTAAATGGCATTTGATATTATTTATTTATTGTAAATGGCATTTGATATTATTTATTTAGTGTAAATGGCATTTGATATTATTTATTTATTGTAAATGGAATTTGATATTATTTATTTATTGGAAATGGCATTTGATATTATTTATTTATTGTAAATGGCATTTGACATTATTTATTTATTGGAAATGGCATTTGACAGGCGCAAACTGGAGCAGCAACAGAAGAAGGCAAGCAAGACGAAGGTGGTTCTCGATACTAACCTGGAGAAATGGAAAGATGATATCGTCAAACACAGAACAGTGGTAACTCTCTTTCTATGACTCTCTCACTATGCATGTCAGTCTATCCATCACTCCCTCTCTCTCTCTCCCTCTCTCTCTCTCTCTTTCTCATCTCACTTCTCAATGTCTGTATTTCATGCACATTCTCACTTTATTTGTCTGCATCTTTCTATTTGTCAGTCTATCTCGGACTTCTTACATTTTTATTTTCTCTCTCCCTCTCTCTTCATCTTTTGTTATTCTTTCTTTGTTTTTTTTCTTTCTCTCTTTTCTTGTGTTCATTCTGGTTGAAATAATCCCCAGGGAGTGGAGTATGTGCTTACGTTGCATATTGTCAAGCCTGAATCTGATGACCATGACTAATGATATTGTTAAAGTTCTTAGGTACATTGTTGATGTATTGAGTTATGTAGAAATCCAGAATGTTAGTATTGCTCTCTATAATCTTCTTAACAAAGATTTACGTTATAATACATGATAGTAATATATATGATTTGTGAGGTGCCGAATCCACTTGAGATCAATGACTCAAGGCACACTTGTGAAACAAAACCAAAGAAAAGAGATAACATAAAGGCAACTGCATTCAAAGAAACAGAAGTAGATAGAACATACACAAATGACAAAACAATTAATTATATGCTGAATTAAAGATATATATGTTTTTTAAGATTATTTTTATTTTTATTATTTTTAAATTTTATCTTTGGCAAATTGACAGGTTCAGGAGCAGGCAGTAGTGAAGGCCGAGAAAGTGGTTCAAGAGAAAGCCCAGAAGGCTCAAGAGCTTCGTATCGTCAAGGAGAAAACACACAAGGAAAGAATAGCCAGGTAAATCAGTTTGAATACATAGGGATAATTGTGGGAATGGTAGATTGTCCTCCAGGTTCCCAGTCTCAGGATTTGTTAGTATGAATATTTGTTCTAGATGCACTTGCCTTTCATTCTTATCAATAAGAATTTTGAATTTATAGTATTTCTGCATAAAGAAACTAAAGGAGAGACAATTTGAACATACAAAGAAAAGGAGAACATTCTGTAAAAAGTCTATGGCTTGACCTGATTGATGGTCCATGCAGGGCAGGTAAAATAAAAAGTGGATACAAGTGATTAAAAATAGCAATATATTTGACTTATTTGCAGCATGTCACTATACTTTTTGAGGGAGGTCGTTGTCTAGGCTCATTGTATTTGGGGAAAGAGGTTGGGTAGATAATTGTTCTTGGGACTAGTTTTCCGGCAGATGGTCATCCTTATACAATTGAATAATTGTAGATGTTTTCACCTAGTTTTCACCTTGTTTTCATCTCAATGTGTTCTATTTTGATGCACAGATGTTGATTAGTTGCAAACATGTGATATGGTTTTATGACATATGCATTTGTGGCAATTGTTCCACGGTCATTATTCCATGTTTTCACCTAGTTTTTTTGTTTATCTTAGTGTGTAATAACAAATGGAACTGCATGTCTTTAAGAAGCTTAATTGTTTCCTTTTTTTCTGTAGGGTTGCTGAGGATGCGGAGGCGTTGGCAAGGTACACTGAGCAGAAGATCAAACACAAGGATCAGAAGGTCGAAGGGGTCATCGCCAAGAAACAGCAGGAGATTGACAAGTCACGAGCGGTGGCGCAGAACTCAGCCAAACTCAGAGAGCAGATTCGCAACCAGTACACAAAGTGAGTTGATTACCGACACATCAACAGCAGTCGGGTTTCTGACAGGGCTTAAACTAACGGTGCCATTCACCACCTAATATCCTCATGGGCATCCTGACAATATTGCCTATGTATGATTTGTGTGGAGTTTACTGTAAAGGGTGGCCAATGGAAAAAGGACTAGCATACTTTCAACAATATTGGGCAAATATGTCACTGGTACCCATGGATGCGGAATCTTTTTAGAAGAAAATTGATAACAAATTTGCCAAAATTGATTGGCCATTTCATTTTAGACACTTTGTGATACAATGTTGAAGACATCCACTGGCAGTGCTCCTTGCAAATAATGTATCATTGTGTAGTTTCAGAAATGGTATTACATGCCTCAGCTTTGGTTAAGCTGTAATGAATGTCAGATTGAACACAAGCATAACATTCCAGACACACTTTCCTTTCTTTTCAGACGTTTTTTAATCAATTGTTTTAACTGCTCAGTGTTTCATTCATACTGGGACAAATTTCAACTCCTACCTTGCGTCACAAAATGTTCTTAAAACAAAAAACCCTCTATCAAATTTGTGAATCATGGTATCATTTTTCATTTCATTTTTCCAATGGTAAGCGCTTAGAAACGTAGTATTATGTCCTATACAAAATTTATTATTACAGTCAAACCTGCTTTAGTGGCCACCTGTCTACAAAGACCACATTTCTTGTTTCCCTTGAAAATGGTTTCTCATTGAAACATGTACTAAAGGAACCTGTCTTCAAAGACGACCTGTCTATAAAGACCACTTTATGCGTTTCCCTTGGGCGGTCGCTATAGACAGGTTTGACTGTACTTGTCTTATTATTATCATGTAATTTTATTTATTTCCTCTTCTTTTGTCTCCTAGGTCTTTTGATTGCATGGCCAAGAAAGCTGAGCTGGAGTCCAAGCTTGGAGCAGGTCCTAGTCTCGGGACCAAGAACTACTCCCATGTCATCATCTCATGATTTGGAATTTCTTTTACTGCATTCAAGGAATATCAAACTTTTTCTTCAGGATGGAGCCCTCTTTTATCCACCAGACCGGCTGCAAGAGTTAAGAGTTTAAAGCCTGTCTGCACTATGTTGGTCAGGAGGGATTAGACCACCCTGCGTGGTCAGTGGCAGGTGGTGATCTCATCAAATCAGCTCTCAATTAACATTAGAAAAAGGGGATCATGGGGACCAACGGGTACTATACCTAACCCTAAAAAGCAACCTAAAATATTTAATTGGGATGCTGTATTAAAAGATTAGAATTTACTTTAAAATGCTTGCCCATTTAACAAACTTTACTTGCCATTGGCCAATATAGCGTATAGAGTAGAACCTGCCTCTTGCCGCCATCTGTCAGCCAGAATACAGTGCAGCAGTTACAAATAACAAATAGTAGGAGTTCAGACAGGTATTGTGTTAACAAATGTCAGAACAGCAGGTTTTTGTCTTTGTTTAACTGAAAAGTTAATCAGAACATTTAGGTGACTTTATAACTCATATTTTAAGTTTCTTTGCACTAATACAACAAATATATATAGTGTCATGAGTGTACTATATTTCTGTGTTAACATGCACCTACAGTATGTCCTGCATGTCTTGGCTCAAATAATTTGTATGATACTATTACATTTAATCATTATTTATTGTAGACTTTGAGATAAATTCCAAATATACTGCCATATTTATTAAAGGGTTATCTAACATGGAGATAAAGTTTATGTGAGCTGAAGGTGAAAGAAAGAAACTCATGTAAAGATGACTCTTAACTCATTCATAAATGCTAATCTTTGCACATTGTTATGTAGTGTCATAATTGTATTACATTACCTTGCTTACCTAGATGTCAGCTGTGCATGTCTGTGCTACTATCAATTATAATATACCAGTACATGTATTCATTTCTTTTCCATTATATGATTTGAGACTGATATTCCAAATGCTGCCATATTTATTGAAGGCACTCTAACCTTGAGATAAAGTTTATTCGAGCCATAGGTGAAAGATTGCTTCTGTGTACAAATACATCTGTTCTCTCAATTAATTTATAACTCTATGAATGGACAAAGTTTGTAGGTTTGTTCCCTATCTCATAGTGATTAATGTTTTTATGCATTTACGTTGTGTTTGTATACCCATGCCTACTTTGCCCGCCAGTGTTAAAGTCTATTGTACATTCCTCTTTGCTATGTTGTAATTGTAAGATTTTGTGATGTGAACTTAACAAAACTTCTTGAAACATTGCCAAAATCTTGCCAAAGTACTGTGATTACCAGAGTGTCACCACAAGCATTATAAAAATGAATATTTCTTGGTATAGTTCAGGATTAATTGTACAAAAAAAAAGAAAAGAAAAATAAATGTTAAACTTGTTGGCATTGATAGAAACAAACCACACAAATACTTCAGGGACAACTCATTGCAAACTTGTCAGTCAAAACTTTCATGCAATTTATATCTTGTTTGTATTTTATTTAGTAACTTTTTAATCTTATGTATTCCTTTTTATGATTTGTAATTTACATTCCATCGTTATGAAGCTGAAATGCTGCCCCTATTTTGCTTTCCTATTTGTGCAAAAATTTATGTTTACAATACCTAATTTTCTTAAAATTTATTGTATATAATATATGCTTTTTTAGTCTTTATGTAGTCTTTCTTCTATGCAGAAACTGTCGGGTAGACCCCATTCTTTGTCCCACCAATGCCATTCCATTTTGTATCAGTTTGCCACTATATGTTTAATGTATGTTGCATTCCTGCTCATAGAAATTCATTTTGCTTTGTTATGTGCTACCTAAAAATAAATTGAATACCGGTACTTTTTAAATTCTTTTATGCATGTACATATCACTGGAGTTTTGTGAGTGTGCTGTTTTCATTGTGGGAAACCATTGTAGGTGTTATGGGGTATAAACATGACAGCAGAGTGAACACTAATGATTTAAATGATTTCAAATGATTATAGCATGCTAAATTGACTGCGCTGTAAATGCTAGGCTAGGGTCAATTTTTAAAGATTTTATGGCTGGAGGGGGGTTGGGGGGGGGGGGGGGGTTGGCAGGTACAGAGAATCAGAAATGGAGTAATTGTAGATGTTTTCATCTTGTTTTTACCTCATTGTGCTCTAGCTTGATGAAAACAGGTGATATGGTTTTATGATGTATGCTCTTGCGGCAATTGCTCCACGGTCAATATTCTACATGTAAAATAAAGGTTCATTCACACATGTCATGGTATACCGCGGCAGTTTGTTAAAAACGTTTAAATGAATGTTAACTAACTTAAATTCACTGCTCGTATTCACCTGGCTGTGTCATAAGATATAGTTAATGTGAAGCGTATCATACTTGCGTCATTATGACAAAATTTAAAAAACTGCCGCTGAATTCTGAACATCAATCCTTGACCAAACACTATATCTAATCCTAAAAAAAATGCTAACCCTAAACCTAATACAACATTAAACCTAATTGGAACCCTAATTTTATACCTTTGACGAAATAAAACCTGGAACAGATATCGCTGAAACGAATGTCGGAGCAGCTTTGTTGTATATGGTGATCACACTACAGTAATTGGGTATTCTGTGTGTAGAAAGTTCTGTATATACATGATCAAATTAGACAAATTAGTGTACCTTATATTTAACAGCTGAAATATTATTTTTATGTGTCAGTGTTTTCTGTGTGATGTATAGTGAGAAGTGAAGTACTGTACCGAATTTTGATTATGCTATAAAAAAGTTTGCTTTGAATAGAAGTGTTTTACAAAGTGGGAACTTTTATCTGAGGACAGTTTATGCACCATGGACACTTTCTTATGTATTGAAAATAAATGGTGGTTTTTGGAGTGTTTGTCAGAATACATAAATGATGTAAAAGTTCAGGTAGAAATTCCTCTGTAAATATGAATTCCATGTACAAGTATATGATGGCACATAATTTCATGAAAAGATATAGATTTATTGTTGGTAAAGAATTATGTATAACATATAATGTAGGTTTAAATATAAGTATACATTCTGTAGGACATGATATATTAAATTCTTCAAAAGTAGCAGGGATTGTATGATATCTTCTGAGTATAAATTTGGATAGATTCAAATTACATTTATATCAGTAAAATAATGTGCTTATTATTGCTTTTATTGTAAACAAAAATATGTCTTGATGGTTAAGCAGTTGAGAAAATGCTGTGCTTACTCAAGAAATCAATTAGTTATGACATGTGCTGGCAAGCAAGTATATTAAGTTCTTATGAATGTCATAACAATAATATGAAAAAGATTTAGAATAATTATTTATTGCATTTTTTCTGTTATGATTCAGGATACTTGAATCAGTAATTCTTTAAAAATATATAGCAAAATGCTTTATCTACTACTACTTCTACTACACTGCACTTTCCTTATTGTACAACTCATCATTTTCCTTTGTCTACAAGTACTAGAAAAATGTAATTGCTCTTGAGAACAAACAACAATGTATTATAATACATGTACTTGCATGCATTTTATCTTGTACTATTGTGTGTATTTGATATATCCGTGCGCATGGAAAATGCTCTTTGTAAATTTTCTGTAATAAAGTAAAATTAATATATAATTCAAGTTATATCCAGAGATATATTTTATCTGAAATTCAGTAAACTTTATGTTTGTCAATCATCTGTCAGTCTAGATGGTTTTAAAAGGTTGTATTCCTTGAAGCATACCAAATGAGAAAAGCCAATGTTTAAATCAGGGACGATAAATGTGTACCGGTAGTGATTTCCATTCCAATATCATTCTTTCAGATTCGTAAAACATTAATCTGTAATCCCCTTTTAATATGTAAGCCTTGGAAAGAAGTGACTAAAAGTATACTATTGACATTATCTTTATGTGCTGTAATATTAAAAAAGGTACAATTTCCTACAAGAGCTATATTTATGCATATTTCTGTGTACCTGTATATGTAGAAAGAATATGATTATTTATATTGCCGAATGAACAAAGAACGAAAATGTATAAAGTACTATTAAGAAATGCATTAACATTATACATGTACATGTGTAGGTTATTATGTTAACACCACACTTGATTATCTAGATGTGTTAATTGATGTACTGAAAATAATTCCTATGTATTGATGTGTTAGTTGATACCATATTTATACCGTACTTTAATACATGATAGGATATAAGATAGAGCTTTATTATTGTCCAGTATTCTTTAACCGCGTAGGATGTTTATTTATCAATTATTCTCCTCATTCCTTAAAACATTGTTTTAACAATAATTATAATTATTGGCAACATATTTTAGTTTTCTTGATCTGGATGTAGCATATCAGAACAAATTTTAAGGGAAACGATACTTTTGATGTCGATTATGTTTATTATTCCAGTAGAGGGGTCGTAGGCAAGTTGTCTAAACACTTGACTGGGGATGGGAAAGTCGTGGGTTCGATGCCCGGCTAAGCACTTATGTCCTTGAGCAAGGTATTTTATCTGTATTGCTCCTCTCCACCCAGGTGCTAGTCAAATGGGTACCTGGTAGGATGTGAAAGTCATTGTCGTTTGCTCATCATTGTGAGCGTTTGTTAAAAGGCGTCTGGCTAGAGTGCTCCCCAGGGAGTGAAGAGGTTACATACATTGAATGCAGGCAAGACTGAATCCAATGACTGGGGTAATGATATATCTGTAAAGCACTTAGAGACATAAATCCAGAATATTATTATCAATGCTTGTTGATATATTTGACACAGAGTGACCCTTGTAGAAATCCTACTTTTGTAATTCATTGCAATGGAAGGTGTAAAGCAGCAATTTTGTTAAAAAAGTACAAGTATCTTGTTAATAGTAAATGCCATGTAGTATCTTGCCCCATGCCCAAATCCTCCCTATAAGTATGCATTGATTCCAAAGTACCCATTTCAGTATGTAATTTAACATAGTTCATGAAAATAGTGATGTTAAGTACTAATGTATTGGATACGTGTCATTCCTTATTTAGGTTGTTGTGAAATGATTTGCACATATCACTTGCTTGTGAAAAATGTCTATTTATGCATTTGTGAAGTAGCTGCCATGTCTTTGCTGTAGTCAATGGATGCACAAGGTAGTTTGAAAATGCAGGGTGTACAAATATGCGAAAAGATGCAAAAATATATTGAACATGAACGTGTATAGAGAGAACTGCGACGATAGTACATGTATTATGGAGAACAAAAGCAGTATAATAAATGTGGTGCTAGGATGGATTGATTTCTTGTCAGGCTGTGCCCTTATTACAGGACATCCATTATCTTCATGTTGAGGATTAGAGGTGGGAGATGAAGTGTGTTAGAGGGAGAAATTGAGTTAAAGAGAGAGAGAGAGACACACACACACACAAATGATTGTGGAAGGCGGGAACGAAAGATTTAAAGAGTGAGTGAGATGACACTCTAGCAATTTTACTGACTACCACCACAGCACTACCATCATCACAATCATCATCCTCGTCAACCACATCATTACAATCATTACAATCATCACAATCATTATCAATACCACCACCATCATTATCACTATCAATATCATGCTCACCAACAACATTATCATCATCACCGTAGTCACTATCACCACCACCACCAAATTTTTTTTAGTCGTCACCATCCCTGTCACTATTATTATCACCATCATCATCATCACTATCATTGTCGTCGTCATTATCGACACAACCACCATTACCATTGTCACTTTCATCATCATCATCATCAGCGTCTTGTCATCTTCCCAAAGACAATGGTGTACTGTAACATTAAAAGCAATTTCCTCAAAATGACATAAAAGATGAAGAGTAAGATAAAATTTAGAATATCACAGAACAAGTACATCCTGATTTGTTTATAATGATATTTTATACTTTATTTTCTTTTATCCATAATTCATATGTATCAACAAATATCAAGCATCACTTGGTAAATACATGTGTATGGGCACTAAAACTTGAAACTTATTAATCTGGAAAAAGAATGAGAATAGAGTTTATACTAATGGGTTTTGTATTTGCTATTTATATTAAGAAATTGATTAAAAATTGAAAACCATCCAAACATATCAGTTCATTGTTTTCCTTTAAACGCTTTTAATAGCTTTGAATGAGTTCTCAAAATCAAAAAATTAGCATAATGAATCGATCAACTCCTCTCACAGCTGCAATTCTTCTGCTGTTCAGCTTGAAACATAAAAATCTCTTTACAAAATTAGTGAGAACTTTGTACCCCAATTTTGCATCCAGAGCTACCCCTTCCCCTGGAGAAGATGTTTCACAGGGTACCCACAAACATAGCTTTTAGTATCCCAAGCTAAGATGCAAATGCAATGTAAGTAAGTATGGGTTTCCCAAGACTATGTGCTGGAACATTGTAGCCTGTAACGTTTGGTACTTGAACCAAAGTGAAAAGATCCATGAATAGTCATTGCTGAAAAATCTTCTGTGATTAACAGTTTCTCAGTGTATTCAATGACGTCTTGCAGAAACTTTGATGTTTTCTTTGGGTAAGTGGAACTTGCGGCTACAGAGGACAACCAAATCCTTTCAGTCTGTGATCATCAACATGGCACCATATTCCTTTTGGTTCTTAAAGCCCCACTGCACAACTTATAGCTTCTTGCGCCCTCTGTATAGCAAAAAATGCCTAATTGGTGACCGTTGGTTCCCCATGGTCCCCTTTTTCTTATGTTAATTGAGAGCTGATTTGATGAGATAACCACCTGTCAGTGACCATGCAGTGAGGTCTAATCCTTCTTGACCAAACTAGTGCAGATGGGCTTTAAGGCATTCAGTGACTTTCCACCCCTTCGTCTTCTTTACTATCGTTCCTTTCATCATCCATGTCTTCCTCGTCGCTGTCCAACAAATCGTCCTCAACCCCCTCATCGTCCTCCTTGTCATCGTCGACCTGGTCATCGTCTCCCTGCTCATCCTCCCTTTCATCAGGGACTCCTGGCCATTTTCCGCCGAGCCATTTTCCGCTGTTGACTGTCCAGCAAAGTCAGCAAAGTCAGACAGGTCAGGGATAGTCCTCACAACTCTCCTCATTTTGATATTTCCAAGGAATTTGGGGCTTCCATCCCACGACCTTAAGACCTTCGCGTTCCGCCCATCACAGATGTCAGGAATTTCTTCAACAGAAAAAAGGTGAAAGGAAATGTGTCAAACTACTATTATATTAACAGGAGATCATATTTTACACAGATTTGTTAATGAAAAGGTGAAATTTCCTCACACTGAATTAAATGCAAACTTTATTTATTACCAGTATTCACTTTTGTTGTAAACAGAGATATTTTTCAAGTTTCCAGACTAAACCACTTGTTGATCCCAAGTAGGTTTCTCACTTTTTTGAGGAATAAAACAAAATTTACATTCAATACAAAAGATGTAGAATTTAATAAAGGAGTCTTATCTGTACCATCTGTATATTGAACTATGGGCAAGTCAGTTTAAAGTATGGTTATGTAAGAAAATATTTGAAGGAACAATTATGATTTAAGTTATTTGATTCAAAACCAAATGGAAGATTCTTCAATAAAAAAGTTACTGAAATAACAGGCCTGATTACAGTATAACACAAGAAATCCAGCAAAAAATCTTCAAAATTGTTTGAAGGATGTTCTGGATTGTGCTCTAAAAATTTGGTATATCCTTGAAAACCATGTTGATTAAGTATTCTAGCAGTCTTGGCAAAAATTTGTAATTGATATCGGCATAAACAAGTAGTATACTCACCCAATCCACAGGTATTAAACTGCTCTTCCTCTCTCTTCTTAGTTTGATTGATAACGTCTTCTCTCATTGCGTGCTGCCTCCCACTTCTTGATTTTATGCTATTAACAATCGATATCTGCTCCAGCTCCTCTTCAAACCTCTCAAGATACCTGGACAGGGGAGACAGACCATTGGATACCAACAAATATGATCAGTGTCCAACAAAATGAATTTGGAGATACATTTACAAATAGGTGATCTGACATTTTAAAGTGACATTCGCCACCTAAAATTTGAATTCTGTTTGTACCAGATCCAACTCTTAATGTAATTGTCAAGTCCTGACTATAACATGCATTTCTACTCAAGTTTACAGTTCTCAGTCTGCTGGCGAATCTTCAATAGGAAGTTGACGTGCATGTCACTACCTATGTAGAAGTGTCATGGTCTAATAAACAAGACGTTTTACTGTGGATCTCACGGTATGTGGTTCAAATTCCTGTCACTTCAGTGACTTCACCAACATGCTTTGGCAAGACATATATCTATGTTTGCCAATCTCCACTCAGGTGAGGTAAATAGTCAACAGGTAGAAAGCAATCCCTTGAAAGCATGCATGCCTCATTATGGTGGCTCAGCTAAAGCCATGGTAATAGTAATAAACTTTGTATTGAGCACAGTAGAGTATATTTGGATCATATCTGCAATACATATTATGGATGTAATATCAATCAATAATGCATTATATTTTCAGTAGCAGAAGTAGTAGTAGTAATAGTAATAGTTATAGTAGAAGTAGCTAGTAGAAGAAGAAGTGGTAATGGTAGCAGTAGTAGTAGTAGTAGTAGTGGTACTAAAAGTAGTAGTAGTAGTAGTAGCAGCAGAAGTAGTAGAAGTAGTAGTGAAGGTAGCAGTAGAAGTAGTAAGAGTAGTTGTAGCAGTCGTAGTAGTACTATCTGTATCATTATCATTATTATTATCTTTGTTATTACTATTATTATTATCATCAGGAGTATAATAATACCTTTCCACTAGGTCCTCTGCATCAGCCCTGCTGTAGTTTGCTCTATCTGGTTCTAATGCCTCTTGGAACCACTTTAACTTCTCAATTTGAATAGAGTTCTTAAAGGCAGTGTCTTGATGAACTCTGGTAAGGAAAGACAGAGACCAGAGAAAATTAAAATAAGCATACTTTCTTAGCTGTAACACTTTCTCTGTCACTGAGAAATCATCATACTTCAACTGAAAAATCTTTTAATTTGTTTATATATTTAATTTCTTATTCTTTAAATTGTCAAGAGTCGATATGAGTTTTGTCATCCAACCAATAAAACAAAGATAGACAACAAATATATTAAGTTTCTCTTCAGTAAAAAAAAAATCATTAAAAGAGTGATGCAATGAAAAAAGGTTGAAATTCAATAAAGAATATCCAATTGATAAAGCCTAAATATTAATCCCTATCCTTATCCTTGGGTTTAAAACACATTTTTAGCTGTTTATGAATACAAGTGTGACTAGAGTCACTAGAGAGACATAATGTGTGGAATAGTGAGACATGATCAATAATACTAGATTATACATGTACATTTCACTTAAAATGTGAATCTTATTTCCGTGTATCTGAAAAAAAATACACCATAATCACTGAAATCATTTATACTTGCATGGTAAATAGGACACATAACTCCCAAATGATTTCACAGTTTCAAGAAATTTCCCTATATCACCTATGCATCCAAGCCCCTGTGGCTTTTACGGATGCACCTTTTTCCATCCCATACTTCAGTAGATTTAATCATGCCTTTTTTCTTTTTTTTAAACTTATGTTTATATATATTTCAGGGTATTTTTCTTTGCCTATGTTTTACAACAATGTAAATGTCAAATGTGATTGGAATCAAATAAAGTTCAATTCAATTAAAACAAATTCAATCCACTTACTTTCTGACCCTCTCTTTGTGCATCTCCCTTCCACCTAATTTGGCAGCCTTTCTGCTCTGAGGATGTATCAGCTTCACACACCTGGCGGCCACCTTGGTCTTCCCTGCTTTTGGCTGCAAGAAAATAAAACATCGCGGAAAAAAAATTGTTTATAGCAGGCTAGATGTATGTATGTGCCGATGGTGAGCATTCATAAATGTATTATTTTGTAGTATAACCTTATCAAAGTTTTCATGGAAGTTACCAATACCATGTATGACAAAGTTACCATCAATCAATAATAAGTTTTTAGACTGAAAATTTCTGTCTCTTTCTATAGTCTCTTATTTGGGAAGGGTCTGCTCCTCTCTTTAGAGACAGAAGGCGGTTATAGAATTTCCTGTGCGAAGCTTAGACTAAAATGCTATTTTAGTGGTTTCTCATTCACAAAATGTGTCCTAAAAAATTATGGATTGTCGAAAATTTTCATCTAGGCCTAGACGTTTTTTTTCTTTGGCACTCTGCGGGTTCAGTTTCCCGATCTGCACACTGGCAATGCGAAAAACAGGATTACGCGTAATGAAATTCCTCCAGTTTACTGTCTACTTTTATGGGTTGTCTGTCTTCTCGATCGGATTTATCGCTCATAACGTGAATTAAGTCTCTGTACAAAGTCAATGTGAAATGCGTCAAGAAAATCATTGCCGACCTTCTTTCGCATCCCGAACCCACAGATCGGAATTCAGAATTGTCAACGAAAATGCGGACAGCCCTTATTTTTGCTGACGCGTCTGTCCGCATTTACGAAGACGATCCTTGTTTTGCGGATGATTTCTGAAATCACGAAACAGAAGTGAGAATGCTGCACTTTTGTGTAATATCACTCTTATCAATTATTCATGGACGAGCCTATTTGACATACTGTGTTGATACTGTTGGGTCTATTTCCTGTTCTTCTTCTAATTTTTGGTATAGAGTCTAGTAGACTAGACCTATGGCACACTAGTTACTAGTAGATCCAAGTCAATTCACCAACATAAAAGTTAATATGTGGGACAACACAATAAACTAAATGCTCAGAAACCACACCAGTGATGGCATTATCTAAATCAAGGGAACACGAAATATTATACAAACGTAATTTAACTACTTACCATCTTAATGGTTAAAGGCAAACAGCAGTGACAAATGAAATCACGATATTTAGCAGGAAATAAAAAAATGTGACGGTAAGATTTTCACATGTGTGTGATTTGTTTCCTTTATTTGGTCGCAAGAGGTCGCAGAAAATTGAAAACAACAACAACTGTGCAGTGTTTCATTTTTTGAATTATTTAATTATTTGATACTTTTTTCATGATGCAGTTCACCGTAATTCTTTTCATCGTGATGGTTGTATTGGTAGCTATTCTAGCACAACTGGAGCTCGAATCAGAACCACTTATAGCTCAAAGATCCGCAACTCTCTCGTCGGACAAACACGAGACTTTTCGGATGGTGACTGACCTCCAAGGTTTTCACAAGGTAATCGGCAGGCCAGAGACCGGGGCGGAGCGGCCGATGTGTGCTGCTATATCTGCATCTTTGCGGAAAATGCAGTAGAATCCTTGGTTATGTCTCTATGAATAAATATGTCTTTTCTTTTCATTTGTTGGTGAACCTGGATTGCATTTACTATTATTAAATACAATTAGGGCCTAAATCAAATGATGATTGACTTTGAGAGTTGAGTTTGATGGAGGAGATCGAGATGAACACAGTTTTGTTTACACTTTACACTTGTTAAAAGAACAGAAATTGCTGATAGCCTGATACAGCTTACCTACAATTACAAGCCAATACATAATAGGGATTATAACTTGTTTTCATGTTGTTTTTTGTTGTTATCAGCGTTTCATGAATATTGACGTTTTCTCCTTTGTTATTTGTACTGTTGTAGTGGATGACGTTTGTCGTGTACGTTGCTGAAGACTTGGATACCTCCCCCCAAGTGAAGATGGGAAAACCTTTCCGAATGTACGCCAGCTCTCCAATCGGAAAAATTGAGATTCCAGCGACGATCACCAAGCATCAGTATCCATCGCGGGTTGAGTTTGAGACCAAGGGCACCATGATGTCTGTCAAATCCAATTTTAACATCGAGGATGGAGAGATGGCAGGTTTCTCCAAACTGACTTGGAAAATCCATGCCAAGAGGAAAAGCTATCTTTACTGGGTATGTATTATGTAAATGAGTGGGATGCAGGGTAACTCTAGGGTTGCTCCACTCCAGCAAAGCATAGAGAGTCAATGGGTTGCTCCATGTGTAGCAAATATGAGTAACGGGACAATGGCCCACAGAAACTACCACCCCCCCCCCTCCCCGAAGACAACCACCCCCCCCCCCCCCCCCCCCCCACTGGAAAATTACTCCAGGGCTGTTCATTAAATTTAAAGGAGAAGTCGAGTCCACCCTGAGAATAAGTTGGTTTAATAAAAGCATTTTTTTTTTTTGGGGGGGGGGGGGGGGGGGGGGTGGGAGGGGGGGGGTGGTAATTGTCTTGCTGGTAATTGGTCGGGGGTGATTGTCCTTGAACTACAAAAGTCTTAAAATAACTGCAAAAAAACTTGAAACTGAATGTTCTTTTTCATCAGGTTTTGGTAGTTCTCTCTCCAATTTCGTCCTACATGGACACTAGCAGTGGGATAGTTCTCACAATTTTGTGATCAACATTTAATTTTATAGCAATTCAAAGCACTTGGGGAGAACGTGTCATACAATGAGATGTACAGGTGCATGTATGTTTTCCTTTAATGTTGGGCTACATTTGTGTAACTATGTGCTGAAGTGAAGAGAAGCCTTTAGACTTTTCAATTCAGAAATCCTAAATGAAAGACATAAAGACCCTGAAAATCTGAAAACTGCGACTCAATTTCAAGTTTTTTCAAATTTATTTTGAAGAAATTAGGTTGATAGAGATTCCGAAGTTTCATGTCATTCATATTCAAGTATGAATAAAACACCCAGGTTTTAAATGGGTACCCGGTAGGATGCGAATGTTCATGTGGTTGGACGAGCAAGTTTGCGCTTGTAAAATGGCGATTGGCTGGAATGCTCCCCAGGAGTGGAAAATGTGCATACATTGTGTGCGGGTAAGCCTGAATCTGATGACCTGGGTAATAATATATCTGTAAAGCGCTTAGGCACATAGTCGGATCGATGTATTGAGCGCTATATAAACACAGAATATTATTATTATTATTATTATTGTTCAGCATTCTTGTATCTTAATATTAAAATCATTTGTGTTCCTCAGGTCACTGTTGTCCAGCCTCTGAAATTCATCCTCTCCCAACAAGTGACTGCATCTCTCTTCAATTTGAAAGTACTTATGCAATAGCTGTGAGAAGTAAAGCTACCCTCTCCACATTGATAGCAATAAGGCTGAGCACTCTGTGTCTTTTTTGGTGAGTTCAAAATAAATGATGGCAGTCTTGTAAGCGGCAGTGCTTGACACTAGTGTACTCGACCCCCGGGACAGATGGGCGCCTAAAGTTTGAAGTCCGAACCCCCTTCCCAAACTTGAAATCTTTACTTAGGGCTCATGCAAGCAGACTCTAACAAGTTCAGTTCTTGCCCACCCCATCCCTTTAAAAATGTGAATAGAGCCCTGTGTTAATTATATTCCAAAACCCAACTATATATGTTTAAAAGCTTGAAGTCTTTTGATTTTGAGTTCAGGATAGTTTCATCTGTAACGTCTCGCCCCTTATGCACAACCATAATGTATGTCACCAAAGTGTAGCCCAACTATTTTACATCTAATTGAACTTGCCAAGTCTTATGTGTAATGACATCTAAGAGAGCTAACTATTGTAATATGTCAGAAGTTATACAGTAGGCTTGCGGATGCCCCATGTGAGAGAGAGAGGGAGGATTGAGGAGTCCTGAAAAGTACTCTCTGTAATCTTTCTTGAGGTTGTGTAGTCCTGAAAAGGACTGTTGGTGTAGTCTGTAAAAAGACTGTTGGTTATCTTTCTTTAATAGCTCATAGTTCTAAGGAGAACTATAGCGACGATTGGAGAGGATGGATGGCGGGAGTGGCTTGACGTTTCGAACAGGTTGACTATCCACCCTCTGTCTCTCTCACATGGTGCATCCGCAAGCCCTAAGTGTACACCATGCAAGCAGCATGTACTTACATGCAGCATGTTAGAAGTTGCATCTTTCCTTTTTCGGATAATATATCTTTACCAAGGGAACATTTGTTGAATTGGTTCAAAGGACAAACATTGACTGAAGTGCATTCGATGCTTTATGCAGCAAGTTTTGTTGTTTTGTTTAGTTGGTTTTACGGCATCATGTGAGAATGGAGCTTAGTAGAACTACAAAAAGTTGAGCCAAAATTCAATCTCTGCTGATTTTCTGAACAAATTATTATTATTATTTTTTTTTTGTATACATGTACGCGTACCAGCATGAACCTCAACATTTTCTTACTACAATACCAATTGCAAAAAGAATAATTTTCTGACCTAGATGGAATTACAGTTAAACTCTGCAAAACTCAAAGTCATGCATGCATTGCCAAATCTTCCTTAAGACAGATCTTTAAAAAACTATACAAAACATGTATTATTTTAATTTTTACACTTCCTAAGTCATACGTCAAGCCATTCTTTGCCGTCTCAACATATTTGACTTATGCAGGGTTGACTGTACCATTGTTGTGCCTTGTTTTGTTTGAAGGCAATTTCCCACCAACTTTGTAAAGCAAAAATCCTACATGATCTTTCAAATGATAGTAAGTGATGGCCAGTTTAGTTATGTAGACTAGATTCATGAATGATGTTTTTTCTTAGAGCATTATGGAGAATACTTGTGAGCATTCTTTTAGATCAGTATTGAGCAATCATGGTTTTCAAATACCCGGTACAATTAACATGCATGGTTGATAAATGCTAACAAATCACTTGACTAGCAAAATACAGTACTTTAATTTCTAATTTAATTTGATGTAATTTACATGTACATATTTGAAAGAAGGAAATTAACTCTATGTACATGTACATGTACATGTAGCCTTAGCAGCGAATTTTGTTTTTTCTTTTCTTGAGAGAACTAAATACCCCTTAAGGAAAAGCTCCTTAAACAGTCATAACAACTTGAAACCTGTACATGTATTTTATATTGAAATGGAAATTTAAATTAAAAAAAAGTATCAAACATATCAATAAGATATATTAATCCAGTGAATTATAATTAGAGTTTGAGTACATATCCACCAATGCAAGTGCAATATGAGTAACTGAGTAACTTGTACCGTTAACGACTGAATTATTCATACCTTTACCAAGTTGTTAAATATAAATATGTGGAATATTGATTTATCCTGATTAATGTTTCTTGAGAATGTGACATATTAAAGCTTTATTTAAAAGTATTCAACAAAGGCCCCTGATTCAAGCAGACCACCTTTCATTCTTGAGTTACTAAAAATACACAACCCCCCCCCCATCAAATTTACAAGGGGTATGAATAATTCAGGCTTGTACTGTATTTGTGCAAAATGATTTGTGTACATACTGACAGAACTGAAATGGTCTCTCTGTTATTGCCAATGTAACAAACAGTAATTTATTTTATTGCCAAAAGCTACTTGGAATAAATACTTTGAACTATTATTTATTTCCAGTGAAGTGAAAATATGCTTTTACCAAAAAGTAAAAGTGCACATTCCTCCTGTTTCAAATTTTGTGTACCGGTATTGCAAGACTATGCTAAACAAATTTATTTGGTATTGACTTCTGTGAAGTTGTTGCATCTACAAATGTTTCACCAAATATTATCAAATCTGATGTTCTGATTCTGATGGCATGGGGGCGTACTTCAAAATTTTGACTCATGAGTTTTGATCATTGAAGAGCTTGTTACTAAGATGATCGTTGTATATTGATGTTTCGTTTTATAGAATAAGAATGAATTTTGATGTTACCGGTAGTTGAAATTCATTCATAAAGAGAACTTGTAGAAATTTAGAAAATGTAGAAATGTAGTACTGTACTGTATATCAACAGTAGTAAGTGTAGTATGTTTGATATTTTGTCAATATTTGCTGAAAAAATATGTTCTTGATAGTAAACATTGTGATCTTATTACTAATTCTGAATTAATTGTTAATGTTAGAAAGCCTGTATTCAGTTAAGTTCTTATTACTTATAGATTCTTTGACATAGGAATGAAATTATTTGCAGTAAATCTAACTTTGTTTTGCAGTATGTGTGACTTAGTATTTAGTAACTAAAACCAACAAATGAATATTGAATCATGCAGTGAGTCCCTTTATTCGATCAAGATTCAAGATTATACTTAATAGAAGAAAAGAAGACTAAATTGTGAAGTGAATAGTTAGTGGGTAATAACTACCAGTACAATAATTCGACAATTGTATATTTATTAAGTACATGAAGTGATAATGTGTATTGTGAACATGTAGTTTGTTTATAATGTGTAACTTGTAGGGCCCAGTCACTGCCAGGTACATGTAGTTTTCTCTTGTAACCTCTCCATTCCATCCAAGTAGACCAACAGCTCTTGAGACCGACGGCCCACAAGACCAATGGCCTGCACTTCGAGACCGACAATTTCGGTCTTGTGAACCCTCAGAAAAGTTTGTCAGAGGATCTGTAAGACCGTCTTTTAAACCCAAAGGCAGCTGTTCGGAAGGCCTGTGAGACCGAACTTGTCGGTCATATGGGCTGTCGGTCTTGGGGACTGTCGGCCTTGTGTATTGTAGCCGTTGGCTTTCTATGCAAGATATAACCTTGAAGGTGATCTGTGTTTTATGTAGAGCATAAAAATGTCTTTGTTTGTTGTTTATGAAGTTAAATACAAGTACATCATGAACTGTTATGTGTATTCTCAACATTTGCAAAGATATGAAATTAGTAAATTACTGTGTACCTAAACTGTGACATAGTCACACAACCATGCTGCAGATTTAGGTTTTCTTATAATAAAGGTATAGACCAGTTTTCAAAATGCCCCCCCCCCTCTCAAAAATTGAAATGAAAGCTCTTATAACCAATCATGTGAAAGAATATGTTTTGACTACCGGTAATATGTGATGATACAAATTTTGCCGGGAAACCGCCTACTAGTTGTTATATATTGGTAATTATTATATCTATCCGGACTGGATAGATATCACGTAGTCCCAAATACATCTTTCTGTGTACAGTGCTTGTAACTTTACCAAGACTGGGCCAAATTTCTTATAATTTTGATGATTCCAGAACCTTGCAGTACACACCAACTTTTATGCTAGATGATCAACCTTTTCTGATCGATTCCACAACGTTTCTTTCACAATGCAATCGCATGACCAGAACTGGTCTATACCTTTAAAAGCCGTTGCTGAAATCGGACCTCTTTTTCCTTATTATACAAGTGCTCCAATATAATTTTTGTGTACTATTTTGTCAACCGTGCAATTTGTTTGGGTATTATCATTCTCATTATTTATTTTTCACTTTCAGTGTGTACAGTACCCGGGTAATTTATGTTTTTCTGTATGTTTTCTGAAATATGTGTATCCTTTTATTAGTATTATTATTAATTGTGAACAAATGTTAAGTATAAAATGTCATTGTACAGTTCATGTACTTTCTTGGACTATGTTGTGTATATTTTTGATGTCCGATTTGAATTTAATAGAACAAATAAGAAATGTGTCCTTTTTTATTATTCACGTATTGTTTGTGACAATTAATTCATAATTATATGATGAACAAAAAGGTGAGACGGGGAGTGAGCTGAAGGAGAAGGGGTTTTGGAGGGGTAGGAGAATGAGAGAGTGAGGGAGTTGAATTGAATTTATGTCCACATCTCCATTTTAAAAACAAGTATTAGGCATGACAAAATATGTGTAAAACCAATAACATGGTACGAGAAAATATATAAAGAAGAAAAGATTAATTTAAAATGTGATTTGCGCTCTCGCAAACAATGCCTCCTGTGCCTCCAAGCGTGAACACATACCACACAAAAATGATACCAAATGATTTGGGATAAAACTCTCTTTCATAAGATGTATACAATTTACTGTCCATAGATGATTTTAAAAATAATAAGCAATTTTCTAGGTGTAAACTTTTTTTTGACTCACACGGTATACTTTAGTTGAGTTTGAATGGTTTTCTACTCTTTATTATTTCACAAGTTTTCACACATACACACACACAACAACAACACAAAGGTAGTTTAAATTTGAGTATAGCATATCCAGATTTATTTACAAGGATATAATTGAGTATTTGTCATTTTTTAAACAAAAATATATCGGAGGTTCAATTGTAAGAATCCAGTTTGAAGGCGACCTCAGAAATGATTTCATCTAGAAAAGTTGTTGCAATGACAAATCACTTTCGATTGTTTGGTCTCTACCATTGATAAGTTCGTATTCATTTTTGGTGAGGGAGAGA